CCCGACCCGACCCGCCCATGAGTTACACGAGCTCGTTGTTTTAGCATGCATCATACTTTAATGTCCCTTCCGCCTGCCCCGTTCCGCACGTTAGGGTCGCTCGCCCGACTCGACCCGCCCGTTACGGTTACGCTTGCGTGTTTTTTCGAACATTCGTCATACTTTAATGTCCCGCCCGCCCGACCCGACTCGCCCGTTAAGGTCCGCCCGCCCGATCCGATCCGCCCATTGGGGTTACGCGTACGTGTTACTTCGAGCACGCGTTATACTTCAATATCCGGCCCGCCCGACCCGCCCGCCCGTTAGGGTCCGCATCCGATCCGCCCGCCCGCTAGGATTACACGCACGTGTTGTTCGAGCATGCATCATACTTTAAGGTCCCGCCCGCTCGACCCGACCCGCCCGTTAGGGTACGCTCGCCCGACCCGACCTGCCCGTTAGGGTTACGCGTGCGTGTTTTTTTAGGGCGTCATATTTTAATGTCCCGCCCTCCCGACCCGACCCCTCCCGTTAGGGTTCGCTCGCCCGAACCGACTCGCCCGTCAGGGTTACGCGTGCGTGTTACTTCGAGCACGCGTCATAGTTTAATAATCCGCCCGCCCGACCCGACCCGCCCGTTAGGGTCCGCTCGTCCGACCCGACCAGCCCGTCCGGGTTACGCGTGCGTGTTTTGTTGAACATGCGTTGTGTCATAATTTCAATTTCCGCCCGCCCGACCGGACCCGCCCGTTAGGGTCCGCCCGCCCGATCCGATCCGCCCGTTAGGGTTCCGCGTGCGTGTTACTTCGAGCACGCGTCTATGTTAATGTCCCGACCGCCCGACCCGCTGGCCCGTTAAGGTCCGCATCCCGTCCGACTCGCCCGTTACGGTTACGCGTGCGTGTTTTTTGAACATTTGTCATTTTTTAATGTCCCGCCCGTCCGACCGGACTCGCCCGTTAGGGTCCGCCCGCCCTATCCGATCCGCCCGTTAGGGTTCCGCGTGCGTATTATTTCGAGCATGCGACATTCTTTAATATCCCGCCCGCCCAACCCGCCCGCCCGTGGGTTCCTGCGGATTGGGATTTTCTTTGAGTTCTTCATTTTCAACCTTGCTAGGCATCTGTGGAGCGCCTGCACTGTCGGACGTCTGGAGCGGCGAGCGCCCTGGGTGTGAGGACGTCTCTAGCGGCGGCGCCCGAGTTGTGAGGATGTCTCGGGCGCCAGCACTCGAGCGGGTGTCTCGAGCGGCGGCGCACGAGTTGCACGCATGTTTCAAGCGGCAAGCGCTCGCGAGCTATTCGACCTATTCGGGCTTTTCGCGCTTCTCGGGCTTTCCGGCTAATCGGGATTTTCGGGCTTTTCGGGTTTTTCTGGTGACCCAGGCGCCCATTCGGGCTGTTTGGGCTACTCGGGCTACTCTGGCCAGAGCTGCGAGGATGTCTCGAGCGGCGGCGCTCGAGTTGCGAGGATGTTTCGAGCGGTGGGCTGTTCGGGCTTTTCAGGCGTTTCCCATCAACCCTGCACGTTTTCGGGCTTTTCGGGTCAACCCAGTTACAGACACCCCTCGCCGACGCAGTGCTTTTATCATCTTTCCCTCCCTCTCTCCCTCCCTCCCTCCCTCCCCTTAGCTTCTTCTCGCCGCGTCCAGGCCTGGGTGGGAAGGCTTGTACTCCGCAGCGTCGCCTCTTCAGCTTCTGGGGAGAAATGATCAACTCTGCCAGCCCGTGCCCGCAGGGTGGGCCATGTGCACAAGGTTGGGTCAACCCCTGCATCAGGTTTTTTTCTGAAAGCTGGACTACGAGAGTAATGAAGAGTCGGGAGGAGGAGGAGAAGGAGGAAGAGGAAGAAGATGAGGAGGACCAGTGAAACCCCAAGACGCATCACAGATGTTGCAACATACCCTCCCTCCAGGTTCCATCTTCACGGGTCCCCGCAAAAGGCTATCGTCATTGCGAGAAGTTTCCCATTGAAAGACAACTTTCTGAGAATCCCCAGTCGTGACGAAACACAACTCCAAGGACCTCAACTCCGCGACTCAACATTATTGTACCGCCCTATACCGCCCTGAGAACCTTAAATCGTGCCAAAACACCATTCCTGGGACTTCGGCGCGCGAATCAACCTGACTGTTGCGTCCTGGCAATCGTAACTCGTGCCAGAACACCACTCCCAGGACTTGAGCCACACGGATCCTTTGAACTGTTGCAAACTTTGATACGGATGCGCGCGGCGTTGAGGAGGGAGCCACATGTTGCAAAGGAACCGCCCTTCATCTTTGAAGCCGCTGCGAATTATTTTTTAATACGAATGCATGCCGCGCTCAGGCGAGAGCAACAGTTTGCGAACGCGCCGGTCTCTATCTTTCAAGCTGTTGCAATTTTTGGATAAGAGTTTGTGCCACGCTATGGCGAGAGCCACGTTTTCAAAACAATCCACCTTCCATTCACGTCCAAGCTTCAGGATCATAACAATGGTGAGGAAGTCTCAGGCGAAGCGCCCGACCCGCCCTACCGACACGTCTGGGGAGTAACTGGAAGGAGCATTCTGTGTATATATACATATATAGAGATATACATTACACATACATAAACACATCTATAAAAAAAGAGAGTATGGAGGAGAAGGGGGAGGAGGAGGATTAGGAGGACGAGCAGAAGGAGGAGGATGAGGAGGAGGATGGATGAATATGATTAGGAAGAGGAGGAAGAGGAGCAGGAGGAGGAGGATGAGGCGGAGGAGGGGGGGAGGGCGGAGGAAGGAGGAGGGAAGGAGGAAGGCATGGGAGAAGGAGGAGGAGGAGGAGGAGGAGGAGGAGGAGGAGGGGAAAGAGTCCCTCTCGCAAGGCCGAGGCAGGCGCGGCATCCTCTTCTGTGATCTCCGAGGGCTGCAAGCCAGCTGGTGAGGAAATGGACTCAGCCGTACTTGATCGTATGACTAATGATCGGACGGCCTGTCAATCGCTCGAATCCTCTCCTCCTGTTCCTCCCCCTGTCCGTCCACCAGGTCACCGGGCCCCCCCAGGCGCTGTGCCTTGCCATGCCATCTACAATGACATGGCATGCCGCTCTACGCAATGCACTGCTATATGATTAATCGCTCGGCCACGCCATACTATATCATCGTATGGAATGCTATGGTGATGCGATTCCGCACTGTACTACGGTATGCCGTGCGCTACACGCAATGCTGTGCAATTCGTTGCCCCACTTTGCCATACCATTTTGCACTACGTGAAGAAAGTCTATACACTAATACGATATAACCTGGTATGATATGGCATACGCTGGATTGTTTTGCTATGCAATGCTATGCCATGTTATTCCGTACCACTCCATGCAGTACCGTGTTACGTCATGTTCTGTCACGCACCGACATGCAATAGTGTTTAAGTGTATGCCTTGCTACTTACGTATACTGCAGTACGATGTTCAACCCTAGACACACCAGTACACATAATACTACTAGATGTGCCGTTATGTTGCATGATGCGCATCGATCTGCCGTTTTTATGTTCGTGATACCATGGTTTGCCATGCCAAGGTGTGGTTTTTCTACACTATACAATGCCAGGCGTTGACAATGTTGATATGCCGTGGCATGCTGGACGATGATATGCGATGCTACAAGTTGCATTGCAATGTGTTGCATTGCACGCCGTTGCGTTGCAGACAATTGGTGCACCTTCAGCGAGACAACGCCTCTGATTGAGGTCGCGCTGGGTTCGTCAGGATAGAGGTCGAAGCCTGAGTTCGTAAAAGGCTGTGTGCCCTGTGGGCCTTCGTGATTTCAATCACCAGGGTCCCGCCGCTGCACTAAGGAGAAGAAGGATGCCGCAGAAGGTGCGGCCACCAGTGGGGCTGCCTCCGAGGAGGCTGCCAGCCAGGCCCGCGCGTGCGTCGCGCTGGATGGTCTTGAACCCTGCCCTCCAGCTCTGAGGAGGAGGATCACGAAGAAGACGACTAGGAGGAGCAACGAGAGGAGGAGGAGGAGGAGGAGGAGGAGGAGGAGCAGCAGCAGCAGCAGCATCGAAAGGATGAGGATCAGGAGGAGGAGGAGGAGGAGGAGGAGAAGCAGGAGGTCCAGTGTAAATCCAAGACGCCTCACAGACGTTGCAATACACCCTCCCTCCAAGTTCCATCTTCATAGGTCCCTGGCAGAAATCGATTGTCATTGCGGGACGCGCCCCATGGAAGACAACCGTTTGAGAATCCCTGACCGTGCCAACACGCCGTTCCTGGGACGTCAACGCCGTGAATCAACTTGATTGTTGCGCCCTGACAGTGCTAAGCCGTGCCAGAACACCACGCCTGGGAATTCAGCACCGCGAATCTACATGACTGTTGCGTCCTGACTGGCTGAATGCGAGCCAGAAGACGGTTCTGGGCCCGGATCCACCTGGGACACCCGGGACACCCGGAGCACTGGGGACACCCGGGAAACCCGGGACACCCGGGACATTCGGAGCTCCCGGAGCACCCGGTACACCCGCGGGACAACAGGAACACCCGGAACACACGGGACATCCGGAACGCCCGGAGTACCCGGAGCACCCGGAGCAACACCCGGAGCCACAGCACGCGCGGATCCAGAGCGCGGAGCCACAACACTCGCCGTTTGCTGCTGCCGCGGCGTACACCCACCCACACAATGGGGAGGTAGAGGGGAAGCGTTCTGTACACAATGCCAGCCACGGACGACAAGGGCTCCCGTTCGAGACTTCTCACGATATATATATATATATATATATATATATATATTCCGAGAGCCCTTGGCAGGGAGGCTTCCGAAGGCCTCGAACTCAGGACTTGCGTTCTCGTTCGAGACTTTCTCGTAATCCTCCTGGCCTGCGGCCCATCCCGCTTTCGGCTGGCTGTGAGGCATGCGACCTGTTTGGCGCCTCCTTCGTGCGCTCCTGGAACGCTCCGGGTCCCCCCAGGGCCGCGCCCATAATTATTGTCGATATTGTAGCCGGAGCGATGGTTGTCAATCTGATGCCACTGGGCAGGCGTATTTTCCCGAGGGGTGCGTGGCCAATAGAGGAGGGCAGCGCTCCGGCGCTCCAGCAGGAGAGGTCCCTCCCTCCTTGCTGCGTGCTTGCGTTTGGGCTGGGGAGGGAACTTGAAAAGGTTCACTCTCTAGCTGCGGGAGAAAGAACTTGAAAAGGTTCACTCTTCCGCTTTGTGGTCGGACTGGAGAGGGAACTTGAAAAGGTTCACTCTTCAGTCGCGGGAAAGGGAGCTTGCAAAGGTTTACTTTCCCGCTTGCGTCTGAACTGGAGAGGGAACTTGAAAAGGTTCACTCTCCAGGCGTGGGAAAAGGAGCTTGAAAAAGTTCACTTTCCCCCTTGTATTGGGTCTGGACAAGGGAACTTGAAAAGGTTCACTATCCAGGCGTGGGAAAAGGAACTTGAAAAGGTTCACTTTCCCCCTTCTACTGGGTCTGGAGAGGGAACTTGCGAAGGTTCACTCTCTAGCAGCGGGAAAGGGAGCTTGCAAAGGTTTACTTTCCCGCTTGCGTTTGAACTGGAGAGGGAACTTGAAAAGGTTCACTCTCCAGGCGTGGGAAAAGGAACTTGAAAAGGTTCACTTTCCCCCTTCTACTGAGTCTGGAGAGGGAACATGAAAAGGTTCACTCTCTAGCAGCGGGAAAGGGAGCTTGCAAAGGTTCACTTTCCCGCTTGCGTTTGAACTGGAGAGGGAACTTGAAAAGGTTCACTCTCCAGGCGTGGGAAAGAGGGATTTCAAAGGCCCCGAGGCCTCCGCCGACTCAGCCTACAGGGTGGAGGATGAGGTATGAGGAGTTTCGACGGCTTGGGCCCTTCTGGAGCCTCGGGGGTCCTCCGGAGTCAGCCGTGGACTGCTCAGATGACTCTCCGGAGACCTCCGAAAACGCCAACACTAGAAGACACAAAATCTGGAAACTCAGAAACGATGACGCCCTACAATCATGCCCCCCAGACACCCGGAGCACCCGGAGCACCCAGAACATAATTTGGAACACCCCGAGCACCCGGAACACCCGGAGCACCCAGTGCACCCAGAACAAGACACCCGGAATACCCGGAACACCCGGACCGGGAACACTTGGAGCTTCCGGAACACCCGGACCCGGAACACCCAGAACACCCGGAACACCCGGACCCCGAACGCCTGGAACACCCGCGGGACACCCAGAACACCCGGAAAACCCGGGACACCCGGACCTGGAACACCCGGGACACCCGGGAGCACACGCGGCCGCATGGAGGACTGGTATGACGAATCCTCGAACCGGTTACAAACTTTCAACGAATGTGCGCGGCGCTGTTGCGAGAGCTACAGTTTGAAAAGGAACCGCCCTCTATCCGTAAAACTGCTGCAGACTTTTAAGATGAATGTGTGCGGCGCTCAGGCGATAGCATCATTCTTAACACCAGCCGGCCTTCATCCATGAACCTGTTCCACACTTTGACGAATTTTCGCGGTGCGAAGGCGGGAGACACATGTGTAAAGCCAGCCGCCCTCCATCCTTGAAGCTGTGGCAATATTAAAAAACGGAAGTGCCTGGTGCGGCGGCGAGAGCCACATTTCGAAAACCACCCGCCCCCTACCCTTGAAGTCGTCGCAACTTACAAGCTTCAGGATCAGACATGATGGGGAAGTCTCCAGCAAAACGCGCGGCCCGTCTTACTGACACTCTTGGGGGCGCGACAGGGAGGAGTCATTCATCAGGAAAAAGGATGGCGGAGCAGGAGGAGGAGGAGGAGGAGGAGGAGGAGAAGCAGCGAAAGGAGGAGTTCTGAGGACGAAGGGGGTCACGACGACGGACGAGGAGCAGCGAAAGGAGTAGGAGGACGAGGAGGAGGATGAGCAGGAGGAGGAGGAGGAGGAGGAGGAGGAGGGCCGCCCGGCAAGACGGAGCCTCGAGCGGAGGAAGCCGCAGCTCGGCCTACAGGAGACCGAGCGGCTCGCCAGCATCGCCAGGCCCGAGGGCCCTTTCGTCAAGCACGCGGCCGCCCTCGAGGGGGCACGTGCACCCCCGCCAGGGGGACTCTGGCACCGATGCGCCATCGGTGCCCCCCAGACTGGGCAGCGCGACCTCCACCTGTTGTGCGTGGGGGAAACGTCGTGTCCGTGGAGGAAGATAATGTCGCGGTGCCGCGGCCCATTCCTTCGCGCTTCTGCCTTGGTTGGGGGCCTCTCGGGAGGCCCTCGCCGCCAGGGCTGGGTTCGCCTCGAAAGTCTGTTCCTAACGCACCCCCAGGGGGAGGAGGAGGAGGAGGAGGAGGAGGAGGAGGAGGAGGAGGAGGAGGAGGAGGAGGAGGAGGAGGAGGAGGAGGAGGAGGAGGAGGAGGAGGAGGGGGACCCCTCTGAGAGGTCAGGGGCGCCCGCGGGAGCGCGGCCGGGCCGCGCGGTCGGCCCGCTCGGGCGGCGCCCGCGTTCCGCAGGCGAGTCTTTTGGGCTCCGACGCTGAACGGGCAGGCGAGACCGGGAGCGGACCTTTTGCCGAGGGTTGTGCGATTCCAGCCGCCGTGCCCGCGTGCCGCTCCTCCTCCTCCTCTCCTCCTCCCCTCCTCTCCTCTCTCCTCTTCCTCCTCCTCTCCTCCTGCTGCTCCCTGCTCCTCCTCCTCCTCCTCCTCCTCCTCCTCCCTCCTCCTCCTCCTCTCCTCCTCCTCCTCCTCCTCCTCCCTCCTCCTCCCGCTCGGTATTCGCCTCCTGATGCCCGCTTGATGCGCCCCACAGGCTCCTTCAGCAGCGGCTCGGCCACCGGCTCTCTAAAAGCGGACCTTTTGCCGAGAGCTGTGCAATTCCAGCTGGCGTGCCCGCGTGCCCGCCCAGCCAGTCGCTCACCACTCACCCAGCCACCCCAACCTGAGGAGGCTTCACAAGGCCGGTGATCCGGTGATCCGGCCACCCCTGTGTTGGCCTTGTCAAGCCTGATCTCACTCCAACCCATCCCGAAGGCCCCCATTTGCCCTCCATTCCCAGTGTGGGGGGAAGGGGGCGTGGGGAACCTTGAAAAAGCACAGATGAAGCCCGTACCCCCCCCCGACCCGAAACTCGGGTCTTCGGGTTGGGTTGGGGTGGTTTGGTGGGTAGCCAGTCGCTCCCAGGCTGGACGTTTCAGGCTGATGGTTCGGAGCTGCGTCGGGTATCAGGAGGGCGGCATGTGACGGCTGGCGTCTCGCCCGTCGGCAGCGAGTTCTCACCCCATTTATCCTCTCGTTCTCCCTGCCAAAGGCCTGACCTGAGAGCGTTTCTGTTGGCAGCCTCCAGTTTATTTATGACCGCTTGGCCCTTCGTGACTGTTTGACCCCAAAGCTGTGACTAGTGGGGGGGGGGCATCGTTTGCAGCTCAGATTCGCAAGAGCGCGGATTTTTGGGGCCCCCGCCTGGCGGCCTCACGAATTGACTGCAAAGCGCGCAGGCCTTTTGCCATGTCCCTCCGGTAGAGGGAAACCTTCAATGCACACTCCCCCTGTCTCCCAAATTCCCAGCTGGTACGCGCGGAGGAGACTGCGGTCGAAGTGCAACTCCTCAGACCCACCGCCAACTTTGAACGATTGAGGGGGGGGGAGGCGTTGACCGATGAATGTGGCATGAGTGTTCGCTATATTCTTTCTCTGAGGCCTGTCGCACGCCTTGCGAGCCGCTCTGACCGAGTGCTGCCTCGGCGAGCGGCGCTCCCGGCGAGTCTTGCGGCGGCACCGCAGGCCGGCGACAGAGACGCCTCGCCCTCCAGGCCGGGAGGCGGCACGAGTCCGCGAAGCACTGCAGGCGACGCTGCAGGTGCGGGGGGGCCGCCCCGGGCGCTGAGAGCTGGGGGGGGGGAGATGTCTTTGAGAGAGAGTCTTGCAGCCGCAGTGCACAGCGACATGCCGCAGTGCAGGAGGAGAGGGATATGGGAGGGGGAGGAGGAGGAGGAGGAGGAGGAGGAGGAGGAGGAGGAGGAGGAGGAGGAGGAGGAGGAGGTCATCAGGAGGAGAGGATATGGGAGGAGGACGGGGATCAGGAGGAGGAGGAGGAGGAGGAGGAGGAGGAGGAGGAGGAGGAGGACTGGGATCAGGAGGAGGAGGAGGAGGAGGAGTAGGGAGGACGGGGATCAGGAGGAGGAGGAGGAGGAGGAGGAGGGTCATCAGGAGGAGAGGGATAAGGCAGCAGGAGAAGGAGAAAGGGAAAAGGAGCATCAATAGCAGCAGCAGAAACACGGGGAGCGAGGATGATGATTATCATTATTATTATGATGATGATGATGATGGTGATGATGATGATGATGAGGAGGAGGAGGAGGAGGATGAGGATGAGGATGAGGATGAGGATGAGGATGAGGATGATGATGATGACGATGACGATGATGATGATGATGATGATGATGATGATGATGATGATGATGATGATGATGATGATGATGATGATGATGATGATGATGCTGATGATGCTGATGATGATGATGATGATGATGATGATGATGATGATGATGATGATGATGATGATGATGATGATGATGATGATGATGATGATGATGATGATGATGATGATGATGATGGGGAACATGAGAAGGAGGACGAGGAGGTCTTTCGTAAGGATATAGCATGTCCGAGGCTCCAGAGAACGGAGAACGGAGGCGTTGGAGGAAGAGGTGGATGAGGGGGCGGAGGACGATGCGGAGGAGGAAGAGGAGGAGGATGAGGCAAGACGAGAAGGAAGTCGAGTAGGAGTACCGGGCACATTCTTGAGAACCAAGGGAGCCAGAGCTGGGGGAGGAGCACCAGGAAGATATGCGGTAGTGGAGCCGTTGCCCTGACCCCCCTCACCACGCCCTTGCTGAGCATTCCCAGAAGGGGGGGATCTACCCATCTAGGGGCGGAATTGAGTGACACGTGGGTGCTGCAGTAGACTCCGAGGGAGTGGGTTAGGCGAGGGGGGAGGGGGAGGAGCAGGAAGAGGAGGAGGAAGAGGAGGAGGAGGAAGAGGAGGGAGGGAGGAGGAGGAAGAGGAGGAGGAGACGGAGGTCAGTGCGCACGAGTCCCTGGAGGCCCCGCAGAGGGGCTGCAAGCCACCTGCGCGTGGCGGGAGCAGGCGGCCTTCATCAGCGCATCAGCGTCCCCGAAAGGGGGATACTGTCCAACCTGGGACAGACGAACATCCCTCAAGGACATGAGACCCTCCGTCGGCCGAAACACACAGAACATCCAAGGGTACCCTCCCCAGAATATGCACATCACTACGGTTTCTTCGGTGCTCACTGCAGTACTGACTGGGGGGCGCCCCCCCCCGCCGCCGCCATTTTGAACTGATTTTGGCCGGCGAGCCCGCCGCCATGTTTTTGTTGCCTAGTTGCGATTACGATTGCGCCCGCGGGCGGGTTGAAATGTTTCGTCTGGTTGGGAATTGAAAATATCGCTCTTCCGCGTCACGCGGTGCGCCTTTTTAACAGAATTGCAAATATTTCTCGGGAGAGTCCCACGCCCGCCTAAGATACTATGTGTTGTTATGTTCGTTGTAGTTTTTTCAACGGATTGCAAAACGCAGCCCGCCGGAATAACTCCGCACTGGTCACAAGACGATTCGCCGCCAAATTTTTACGGGGAGTTCCAACTGATTTGAATTCGATCACACTGGAAGCAATACAACATACTCCATTTCAGAAAAAAGCGAGCGGCGGAGAAAAAAACCTGAAACAGCAACTGACGTATCGAAAGAAACGGCGGCAAGGCGAACCAACGAATTCAAATCAGTTGGAACTCCCCGTAAAAATTTGGCGGCGAATCGTCTTGTGACCAGTGCGGAGTTATTCCGGCGGGCTGCGTTTTGCAATCCGTTGAAAAAACTACAACGAACATAACATCACATAGTATCTTAGGCGGGCGTGGGACTCTCCCGAGAAATATTTGCAATTCTGTTAAAAAGGCGCACCGCGTGACGCGGAAGAGCGATATTTTCAATTCCCAACCAGACGAAACATTTCAACCCGCCCGCGGGCGCAATCGTAATCGCAACTAGGCAACAACAACATGCAGCGGGCTCGCCAGCCAAAATCAGTTCAAAATGGCGGCGGCGGGGGGGGGCGCCCCCCAGTCAGTACTGCAGTGAGCACCGAAGAAACCGTAGTGATTGAATTCGTTGGTTCGCCTTGCCGCCGTTTCTTTCGATACGTCAGTTGCTGTTTCAGTTTTTTTTCTCCGCCGCTCGCTTTTTTCTGAAATGGAGTATGTTGTATTGCTTCCAGTGTGATAGATGCACACGAAGATCCAAGAAGCACGAAGAACATCAGGGTAGCATCCCCGAAACAACCTCGATCTTACACCTCGGTCCGACTTCATTGTTTCAAGAGGTCATGCGCAAGAGAAGGCGGGAGGGAAGCGCGAGGAGGGAGAGGGGAAGGGCACGCGACTCCAGGAGCGCTTCCCAGGCAATTCAACCGAGCAGTTTCTGGCGGCCGCACAGCATCGTGGACCCGTAGCAGCTCCGACTAAAGGTATTCTTTTGGCCGGGGGCATGCACCGCACACAGCGCAGTTTTATGCAATGTACAGCAATGCAGTGCAAAGGATGGCACGTATTTCTAGCGCTTATGGCAGCTCTGTCTAGCGCACCATGGCACACGATCGCTGCTCATATTTTAGCAGCTTAGCATCTCCTATCGTGGCATTGCGTGGACCCGCCGTGACTATGGTGTAAAAGCGTTGTATCGATTTGCGCTTTTCAGCATCGGAAACAATCCAATTGCATACATTGGCGCTACGGAAGTTTTGGCCCGTTTCGGGCATTCACCAAGGCAACGCTTCAACATGTGGGTGGAATCGCCATGCCGACTTTGAACCCGAAAAGGGTTCGACTTAAGGTTTTGCGGAAGTTGTGGGCGGAATCGCCATGTCGATTTTGAACCGAAAAGGTGCCGATTGCTTTTTTGGAGGAGATCTTAAGTGGAATCTCGATTTCGATTTCAAACCCGAATATTTCGGCATCGGTCGACATGTTTGTTCAACTGCGTCCCAATCGTAATTGCTGTTTCGATGCGGCCAGCCAGTCCGGGATTTCAATCTTACGGTATTTAGCCAGAGAATTTGATGTTTGCCAGCGTGGACCCAAAGAGCGTGTTTCTAGCAACTTGCGTTGTGCAATATATGTGGGGCAAACAATGTGGTGTCATTTATGTGGAGCAGTTTGTGGCGTTGTGCAATGTATGTCGTGCAATCTACGGGGTATAGTTAATTTCTGTTCGTAGCGAGTTCTCCATTCCACTGCTCGCGCAAACATCCCACCCACCGTGCCGCCCACGCGCAATTTGGTTTGCACACCTCATGCGGCGGCGATTGCGATGAGTGGTTGGCGCTGGCTGGTGCATCTCTGCGGCCGCGCCAGCCCGCGCATGCGCGGGAGCGCAGCGGCCAGGTAGCTTGGCGCGACCGACGCGGCCGCTGTGGTGTTGACTGCTCGGCACATCCCAGCGGGCACTTGAGTGTGAGTCGGCGACTTGGGCGGGCACGGTATCATGGCAACGTCGACTATTTTAAATTCGGTGATGATGATAGTAGCGATGTTGGTGAAGATGCTGACAGCGACGACGGCACGACCAGTGACGGCGCCGATGCCAATCACGCCGACGAGGATGACGGCGTCTTCGCGTCGGTGATGAAGGTTTTGGAAGGAGTTCGAAATGCGCGCGCGGCAGACGTGCGAGAGTGGGTCCCATGGTATTATTTGACACGGGTCGCGCCACCCCAGCACGCGCGCAAAGGGCGTGCGAGCGATTTCGAAATGCGCGCGCGAAGCCGACTTGGTAACAGTTTATGAACATATTGAACAACCAATGTTTTTTCTTGAGAATTCGCAAGAGCGCGCGCACGCTTTTGTTGGAAACCCGTGTTGCGAAACCTTGTGTTTTGTATGTGTCTTGGACTGTGATTTTTGAATTCCTCCCGAGACCAACGGTTTTTGAAGGATTGCGGCATGCGCGCGCGACGACGCGCGCGTGCGCTTCGTTTCTTACTGTTGCAGAGGATTCTCGCGACGGCACGCGCGCGAGGGCATTCGAACGTTTTCGACATGCGCGCGCGAAGCCCGTTTGATAGTATTTCCTGAACGTAGTTAAAAGCCGATGGTTCCCTTAAGAATTCGAGAGAGCGCGCGCATGTTTTTTGAAGGTCCGCGGTGCGACACGATTTGTTTGTATATGTTTTTGTGACACTCGATTTCGAAACCCTTTCCGAAACCGAAGGTTTTTGAAGGATTTCTGCATGCGCGCTCGACGACGTGCGCGTGTGTACGTCGCCCGTTTTTGTTGCAATGGTTTTGGAAAACTCATGATTTCTGATAAATGAGTGCGCGCGCATAGAAATGTTTGCAGAGGATGGCCGGGGAGTCGATACCGGCTGGCCTGGGATGGTATGAGTTCATGGGGAAATGAGCGAAGGATCGCGATCATATATGAAATTCTGGTCGAAACGCATAACAGAATTCTGGGGGGTGATAGGGGTAGGATCGAATTTCTCTTAAGAGAGGAATATCTGCGGTGCAATCTAAGCAGCGCAATGCAAAGCGAAGCAAGACAACCCAATGCACGGCAACGCAAAGCAACGCAGGACAGTGAAGCAACGCGAAGCAACGCAAAGTAATGTATAGCAATGCAAAGCAATGCCATGCAAAGCACCGCAAAACAACACCACAAGACAAGGCAAAACAACGCAACGAAAAGCAACGCAAAGCAATGCAACTCAAGGCAACACAACGCAATGCAAAGCAACGCAACGACGGGGCGGCGACGGCGAGCAGGGCGCCGCCAGGCCGACCCGCAGGCCCAGTTCTTGAGAAGAGAAATAAGAATCATCGATTGGGGAGCAGTGTGGTTTTCACGTTGGGCTTCCTCGAGTAAATGATTTCGACACGATGTCGAAACTCGTCAGCTAGGTCGGATCGAAATGGCGACTCCGCCCACCACTCCTTGCAGACAAGTGCTCAACCAAAGTCTAAACTCGTCTGGCTGAGCTCGAAACGGCAATTTCACTCAGGACATCCCCATGACAGGTGGAATAATCTCGGGCCGATGGCAAAACGGTTTGAAATCATGTGCAGTCGCGAAACGAAGCACCGAGACGCACCTTGGCAACATTGTATTGGGACCCCGCCGCCTAGTGGGACGCGCTGCATTTCGGCCTAACTTCTGCAGCGGCGAAGTATGATCGCAAGGCACAGCATGGCATGGCTAGCCTGGCAAGCAACGTACATCATCCCTCTGCACACCATAGCCTGCCGTAGCAAAGGATGGGACCGCATAGCGCCATATAGCATGCGCAGAGCAACACACGTTAGAGTATTTGCTGGCACCGCATCGTTCGGCATAATTTGGCAGCACATGGGCCATGTTTTGCCAAGCTATGCCTTGCGATGAACACCTCGGGCGATTCCGAAGATCCTGGGCGACGCTCACCATGACACCCCCATAGCTACTGCCAACACAACAGGGCGGGCGCCGAGGGTGACCCTGAGGACCTGGGACCGAGCGCAAGACGGCCACGAGTCCCGCTGGCACGCATCAGGGCCCGATGTCATGGCGGCGATCCGGCAGGTTCCCTTAGTGCAGATCTAGAGGCAAGCAGGTGGCCAGATGCAGGCCATAGTTCGAAACAAAAAAGAATTGCATACACATGAATGTTCGGAGATCCGCTCGGGGATGCGAAACGCATCATTCTTAAAAATCTCTCGGCCCTCCAGGCCACAGCCTGCCAGAGTAAATTTTTTGACACCTCATGGAGCCGCTTGCATTGGAATAAAAAGTGCAGGCGAAGCATTTGTTCGTGCGGTGATCTGTCATGGGGGGCCGGAGACGCGGACAGGCAAGTCGGAGGTTGGGGGCCGCATGAGCCCGCGCGCCCTCGGAGCACCGAACGGCGGCACGATGGATGCGAGGGGGTCTTTGACTCTCTGAGACGCTGAAGGAGGAGGAGGAGGAGGAGGAGGAGGAGGAGGAGGAGGAGGAGGAGGAGGAGGAGGACGCCGAGCGCACCCGGTACCCGGACAGAGGGCAGAGGGTTGCGGCGGACGCGGCGGAGTTCCGCTTGACCTGTCGCGCCATCCGGCCCTGGGCGCAGTGGCGCCTCCAGGGCCGCTTCACCTCCAGCAGGGGCGGAGCAGCGGAGGCCGCCTGTCCGTGGTGCGACGGCGTGGAGCTGGACGTCCAGCACTTCCCACAGTGCCGCAGTGCAGCGCAGGCGGCGCGGGACGCCGCAGCCGGGACAGCCTGGGAGGGCGCGCCAGCCACAGCGCCTGCGCAGCGCTGCGCACAGGACGCCGACGTCCTGACGGGGGTGACCGTAGCGGCGCGGCTCGCGGCCGGGCCAAGGAGGCGAGGCGGGCGCCCGGGGGTCGAAGGACCACCCCTTCTGCAGTGGCTCCCGATGACGCGGCGACGGGAGACCTCCCCCTCCGCTTGGCGGTGGCTGGGAAACTTCCCGCGACCGCAGGCTGGGCCTCCGAAACTGCACCGGGGCTTCGCCGGCGGGGGCGTGGGGCTCTGGAGCCTCTGCAGCACCCGCTCCGACGGCCCCGGCTGGGGGGGATTCCGGGGGCGCCGGCCGGGGGCGCGGGGCGCTTCTGGCATAAGGTTTCTTATGTCGCGGGCCTCGGCGGCCCCGGCCGGGCGGGCCCTGAGCGCGATCCTGGGGGCCGGGGGGGTCGGCCCCGTGGCGGGGCTGGTGTCGTCGTTGGCGTCGTCGTCGCCGCCGTTGTCGTCGTCGTCGTCGTCGTCGTCGTCGTCGTCGTCGTCGTCGTCGTCGTCGTCGTCGTCGTCGGGGTCGTCGGGGTCGTCGGGGTCGGGGTCGTCGTCGCCGCTTTTCTGCCACCCCCCCTTTCCCCCCCTGCCCTCCCTCGCCTTCCCCCTCTTCTTCCCAGTCCCTTCCCCTGCCCCCCCCTTTCCCCCCTCCTCCCCCCCCCTCCCCCTTTCGTCGGTCCAACGGCGTCCTTCGACCCTGGGGGGGACCTGGCAAGAGAGCGCGCCCCCGACGGGCGTCCAGCGACAACCTCGTCAGCCCTGCCGTGGCAGGCTTCGGGGCTCGCTGAGTCGCTGGCAGACCGTCGGGCCAGGTTTATCACATTTCTTTAAGCGAGTTTCTCTCAGGCTGCCGGGGCTGCTGGCGGCATGCTATCGAAAGAAAGAAAGAAAGAAAGAAAGAAAGAAAGGAGGAGGAGGAGGAGGAGCTGCTGCTGCTGCTGCTGCTGCTGCTGCTGCTGGTCCTCCTCCTCCTCCTCCTCCTCCTCCTCCTCCTCCTCCTCCTCCTCCTCAGCACAGTGGAGACGCTGAGACAAGGACGCTGGAGGGTGTTGGGTTTTCGGGCCGGCCCTTCGACTTTTTGCGTCGGCGAGCCTTTTCGCGGCTGGGCCTCGCCGTGGCAAGAAAGGGCCCTTCGGAAGCGCTCGCCTATGGTAGGGCGATGACGTTTGCATTACAGTGGAGACCCCATGCCACCTCCCCTGCCTCCCCACCCACCCCGCCTCCCCTCCCCCAGGAGATCGGCCACGCGCAGATGGGGGCAGGGGGCGGGGGAGAGGCTTGTTAGAGAGAGGCTGCGTCTTAGAAGGCAGGCCGCTTCTTAGAGGGTGCGGGCTTGATCTACACATCTAGGGCTGGCCCCACCGACAGTGGAAGACCATGCCAAGAAGCACCCTGCTTGTCTCCAGGGTGCCCTGGGTTTCTTGGGTTTCGATGGTTTTGCGATGGGAAGCGTGGCGTTCCCACACCAAAAACGAATGGACGTCCTGGGGTCTCAGAGTTGGGTTTCTTGTGCAAAGTTTCTTGTGGACGGGCCCCTACTGTTAGAGACGAGAAAGCTGGGGTGGAGGCGGGAGCCATTCGGTCGACAGGTGGGCCGGAGCGGCTAGCGGGTGTCAGCGCAAGCGGGCGCCGAGAATTAAAAGTTCAACGCAATTTGGGAGTCTCTTGGAGCAGTGCTGGAGTCAGCTTGGGGCTCTTTGGAGACCCTTTTCGAGAGCTTCGGGGCCCTCGTGGGGTTTGCCCTGTTCGGAACCTCGGGGGCGGGAGCAATCCATGCGGCCATCGGCCGAAAGAAGGGGGGCCTCAATGTAGTTACACATCCCATTTGGTGCCCGGGTGGGCCATCTCGAGGCAATCTTAGGACTCTTTCGATTGAGCTTACCCACGAGATCACCCACGCACATACAGCTGGTGGGAAACGAATCGATCCTGCCGGGGATGCGCAGTCAACCATGGGAGGAGAAGAGGAGAATGAGCTCGGGACTTCTAGTCGACCGATGATGGCAGAACGGTGAGAGATCCCTCTCCCTTCGCCTCCCACTTCCTTCCCTCCTCCTGGGATGCTTCTCCGCCCGCTCCGCTCCCAGCTCCCGCTGTCGGTGCCAAGGCGCGCAGCGAAGTGCCGGCAGTCCTGGCAGCAGTGCCATCGGGCGCCTTCGCACACTGCGAGCACGAGACAGTTCTGGAGGCGCCTTGGGGACCCAGCAGGCAAGGCAGGCAGCATTGGCTGACAATGCAGTGGGGGGGGACAGGCGGAGGAGCGAGATGGAAGTGTATAGTTATTGATGGTTGGCTGTGAATCAAGAGAAATCGAATGAATAAGGAAGGAGGAGGAGGAGGAGGAGGAGGAGGAGGAGGACAGATGGCATCCAAATTCAGCGAATGCACCAACGAGCGACAAAAGCGGACCGCCTGCGGGGATGCCGAAGCGTTCCTCCGCCTCGCCGAGGCCGCTGCGTCGCATCGGCAGGGTGCAGCACCTTCGGGCCCCCGAGCCACAACGGCCACGGATCCGAGGGCCAGCGAGGGAGCGGGGGAGCGGCAGCGGCAGCAGGCCCTGGTCCCGCCTGGGGTCCACCTCTTGTCATCCACGTTCCGGCGCCGCCGCGGTGCTGTCGGCCGGGCGGTGGTGCTGCCTCGTCTCGGCTCGTGCTGGCTCGCTCCTCCGTTGCTCCCGCTCGCTTCGGCCGCCGCGCGCGCCCCCGATCGACGCTGCGGGCCAGCGTGGCGCCCCCAGGGCCTGCGCAAAAGAGAAGGCCAGCAGCGGCAGGGGGATCAGCAGCAGCGTGGGCAGGAGCGGGGAGGCGGGGGACAGGTGTCGGAAACAGTTCAGCAGCACTCGTGCAGAACCTGTGGTTTGATTCGTCGCCTGCGGGCACCAGCCCCCGGGTCGTGGCTGCAGCTGCCGCGGAGGGTGGTGGTCTACCCGGTGGGGGCTCTCCGCCGAGAGGGCTGGGGATGACGAAGCGCTTGGTGCTAAAAGCCCACGAGCACACGCGATGTGTTCGTTAGCGAAGTGGGTATTTGGGAGGGGGGCGGGAGATGCTCCGGGGAAGGGCGGTGAGGTGAGAGAGAGAGAGAGGGAAGAAGGAAGTGCTGGGAGGAGGGAGGGGGAGGACACCTGGCCAGAAAGGAAGACAGGGAGGAGACAGGGAGGATCGACGGGCGGCAGGGAGAAGGGATGGTGATGGTTGTGGTGGTGGTGGTGGTGATGGTGATGATGACGATGACGCTGCTGATGATGATGACGATGATGATGCTGATGATGGTGATGATGATGAGGAGGAGGAGGAGGAGGAGGAGGAGAGAAAGGAGGAGAAAGGAGGAGGAGGAGGAGGAGGAGGAGGAGGAGGAGGAGAGGAGGGGGAGAAGGGATGGAGGTTGTGCGTAGTCACATCAGGGGTAACTATGCCATGCCACGGTCTCCACGCTCTCTCTGTTGCATCATGTCTTGCCCTGTCTGGCCATTTCACGATCATTGTGTCTTGACATTGCTTCCTGGTGTTGCTTCCCTTGCTCGTCCGCTTACTCGACAAGCATCTTCATGATTGCCCATACAGCCCATACATGCGCTTGCTTATTATGTTCCGAGCTGCAAAAGTAATCCCCACATCCAGGTCAATAATACATGCAATGTTCTACTGCGACTTGATGAGCTGACGCTTGCGCTGAGATCGGCATATCCGCCCGCATTGCACGGGGCCAGAGCAGGAGCAGGAAGCGATTGAGTCCGAGGAAAGTGCGGGAGGAAGTGAAGGAGGAGCAGGAGGAGGAGCAGGAGGAGGAGGAGGAGGAGGAGGAGGAGGAGGAGGAGGAGGAGGACTGACAACACGTAGGAGCTAAGACCGCCGATTGGGATTTCATAGGCAGAAGGATCGGGCGGAGGGGCTTCAGGCCAGTTGTCTCGTGGCATCGTTGAACAATCCCGCAGCCCACTATGGCGAGGTGCCGCCATTGAGCGCTTGGAAGTACCACCCCTTTGGGCCTGGGCACCCGTGTTGCAGGCCATCCCCCGACGCCGAGCCGCTCTTCGCGCCGGCGCCCGGCGACGCCGGCAGGGGCCTCGAGCGCGCGAGGATCCGTACCTCTGCCGACGACACGGCGCTTGGCGGCGCGAAGGCATCGGCCGAGGCCCGGTCTCGCTGGCGCTGAGCTCTGCACGCGGGAGGCGGAGCTCGCCCCGGCGAAGACCCGTCGCAGATCCGTCGACCACGGGGGCCACTGCGCACCACGCGGCGTGCCTGCATGCAGGGCCAGCCCGGCAGCACCGGGCGGGCCGAGGGCTCGGGAGTGCCTGTGCAGAGTTGAGGCCGGTCCGCGCCCCTGCCGGCGCCATCTGACTGTTCCCGCGCCTTGAGCATCTACGGGAGCACTGCGCTAGGCAGCTACGTCCTGGCCTTCTGGCCTTGTCGACGCTGAGGACAGCGCAACCCACCCCAACCCCAGCCAGGACCCCCACTCCCGACCCGGTGATCCAGGGGTCCTGGCTCGGGGTGGGGGTTGTTTTTTTGAGTCAGGGCCACCCTTGCCCCCGTGCAGGACCCACTGGATCACAAGGTCGGGAGTGAGGGTCCTGGCTGGGGCTGGGGGTGGTCTTCTGGCCTTGCCGACGCCCGAAGATGTGGCCCACAGGGGTGCCCTGGCCGAGCCTGCCAAGGAGGCCGCCTCGAGCCTTTTGGCCCCTCGCTGCACGACAGCCTCCGCGGACCCCGGCTCGAAAAGGCCGCGCGCTCCGAGCTGCTATGTATCATGCAGGGCGTTCCTGAATGGGCCCCGCCTTCGATCGATGGCTCGAAGATGGCGTCCTGAGGGACGGGGTCCCGAGGCGGAGGTGCCTCACGCAGTGTGAGTCCACACCTGGATCCCTTCCCATTCTCATGACCCCACCCCTCGGGGCCCCCATCTCTGAGCCACCAGAACTCGAGGACCGAAGGAGCTGGCGCCTCTTCCCTGGCGGAAGGCCGGCGGACGGCGGCGGAAGCAAAGCAGGGGCGGCCCCGCCGGCGGAAGCCGGCGGAAGGCGACGTCGGCACTTTGGGGTGCAGGGTCCGGGACCCGCCGCTCGGGGGTGGGACGGACCTCCTACCCTGACACGTCGATTAGCGAATTGGCCGTTTTCGGTTCGCGAGAGGGCGTCGCGGCCGTCATTTTTGCGGGTGGCCGCTTTCACTAAAGCGAGGTTTACTAAAGGGAGGTCTGTCCACCGCCGAGCCGCAGTTCACGAGCGAAAAGAGGACGTACACGCACACGAATCCATGTTGGTTTCGAGGGTACGCATGGCGCGAACGTTCGTATCGCGCGGCCGGTCTCGCGGATCGAGGGGCCGTGTGCATGTACATGGTTGGGCGCGTACGTCTTTTGTGGGTTCTCTAACAATGCTGGTGGTCGTTGACCTTTTGGGCTACCGCTGGTGTCGACCCAGCTGCTTCCACGCCGGGAGTCCGAGACCGTCCGGCGTTGCACTTTCGAGGCGCCGCTCTGGCGCCTTTCCGTGGATTGCATGGCGGCCGCTGAGTGAGGCCACGCACCTGCGAGGATCAGTATCCGAGGCCGAAGGAAGGCTGAAGGCGTCAAGTGGAGGGGGAAAGACGTAAGAACCATGCACCGTCGGAGCTCTGCGTGTATTTCTGGGGTCCAGCGCTGATCCAAGAAGTCCGCGTGGACACTCGAGAGTTTGTGCCTCTTCTCTCCCTGTTCCTCTGGACGCGCACCTCCTGCGGGGTGTCGTATCCGAGGCCGAAGAGGGGCTGGAGGCGTCAAGGTCGAGGGTCCAGGGTCCCAGAGGGCAGCTCTGGAAGGAGCTGTTGGAACTTCGTGCGAATGTCCATGCACCCCAAGGTGCCGTACAGGAGACACAGAAGCAAGCTTTCGGAGAGAAAGAACGCCGTAAACATATACTTTTGGCGCTCCGCGCAGATTTCTTGGATCCGCGCGGAATGAATGCCGTGTTTTCTTGTTCTAAGCATGTTGTTCCACCTGCACCCGCTCATTCGCGTGGTCATGGTTGTGAGGATGACGGACGATGTGCCCTTGGCCCTTTGGTCGAGCGAGGTTATAGTACCCTGCTAGGGCCGCTTCAAGCAGAGCGGCTAGCATGTGGGACCACGGTGGCCGCAGAGGCCCCACTTACCTGGCGCGTGCTCCGTGGTTACAGCAGCAGGGACGCGGTCATCAGCTGCCTTGCAGCGCGAGCAAAGAACCATTGCTTGGGAGGGAGGGCGGCAAATGCGCCAGGTCATTTGATTCATGGCGTTGGCCTTGGAGGAGACAGAGGAGGGAGAAAGAGGAAGGACGGAGGGAGGGAGGAGGAGGGAGGGGGCAGGGAGGAATGACGAGGGAGGAGGGAAGCGGGGGAGGCGGAGAGAGGGCGAGTGGAGGGCGAACGGGAGCGGGAGGCGAATGGGAAGGGCACGCGCAAGGGAAGGGAGATGGGGATGTAGAGGGGGATGGGCAAGCTAGATGCGCTCGCGTCATATCTGACGTCTTACCCCTTCCTCCCAACCCTTACCATTGCGTAGAGCCCCTATTCGCTTAAGTCGAGTGTGGAAGCAGACCCTGGTCCGGAAAGAGCAAACGCCGCGCAGCATAGCATGACATTGCAGAGCGTAGAAGGGCACGGCAGAGCGCAGCATGGGATAGCACAGAGTGGCATTGCGTAGGAGCCAGGGTCCCGGAGACGTGAGCCAGTTCCAGTCCAACAGTATTGCCAACGCTGCAGCGAGAGCGCCATTCCTGCACGGAGGCTCCACGGCAACCGAGAAGGGAGGCCAACGTTGCAGCGGGAGTTCCGTTACTCAGGGACCAGGGCTGGGAGGCGCGAGCCGCATCATGCTGATGCAAGAGCACGGCCTGCGCTGCGTCGAGCGTGCCAGTCCTTCGGACGGAGGTTCCGGGGCAGGTCAAGAATGCGGCTTCAGAAAGGAGGCCAACGCCAGAGCCAGAGCACCATTGTCAAGGACCGCACTCAAACACTAGGCCGCGCTGTAGTCGGAACGCTGTTTTCAAGGACGGGCCATCTGGAAATGAAGGGCCGACGCTGCAGCGAGGGCACCAGTTGGACGGGCTGGCAGCACGGAAGCAACGCCGGCGATGCAGCGGGAGCACTTTGGCACATCCGAGAACGGCAACAAAAAACACGCGGAAACGAGGCCAGTGCCGCAGCCGGAGCGCCACGTTCAAGGACCGAGAAAACGCGGAGTGAGGCCACCCGTGCAGGCAGAGCCTCCAATGAGAGGGACCGAGAGCGCGGGCACGAGGCCGGTGCTCTGGCGCGGGCGGCACCTCGGAAGGAGAAGGGACGCGGAAATGGTGCCGACGTTGCAACGGGAGCGCCATTCTGGAAGGATCGCATCCGCTCACAGTGAGAAAGCACCCGAGAAGAGCTTGCCCGCGCAGACCAGGAGGATGAGGAAACAAGGAGGGGGATAGAGGAGGGCAAGGAGGAGAGAAGCAAGACTATGAGGAGGAGGAAGAGGACAGGGCTGAGTACGGGTGGGGAAAGAGAAGGAAGAAGGGAAGTGAGGATGAGAAATGGCGGCGAAGGAGGAGGAGGGCGGAGGATGAGAAGGAGGAGGAGGACGACGAGGAGAAGGAAGAGGAGGAATGACGGAGGAGTGGCGGAGAAGGCGGATAGGGATTATGATATTGATGTTGTTGATAATGTTGTTGATGATGATGATGATGATGATGATGTTGATGATGATGTTATTGATGATAGTGATTATTATGTTGATGATGACGACGACGAGGATGATAACGATGATGACGATAATGACGACGACGATGACGATGACGATGGTGATGGTGATGATGATGTTGATGAGGATGATGATGATGATGCTGATGCTGATGGTGGTTGAAGTGTGGTGATGACAATAATGATGGGTGATGATGATGTTGCCGATTGTGATGATGGTGGTGGTGATGATGATGCAGACGACGATGGTAATGATGATGATGGTGATGATGACGATGATGATGATGCTGATGATGATGATGATGATGATGGTGCTGCTGCTGCCGATGATGCTGATGATGAGGATGATGATGGTGATGCTGATGGTGATCATGATGACGATGATAGTGATGATGACGATGCTGCTGAGGATGATGATGATGATGCTGATGCTGATGCTGATGATGGTAGTTGTGGTGTGGTGATGACGACAATGCTGATGGGTGATGATGATGGTGTTGCCGATGATGATGGTGTTGATGATGATGAGGATGATGATGATGGTGATGATGATGCTGATGCTGATGCTGCTGATGATGATGCCGATGATGATGAGGATGATGATGATGATGACGACGGTGACGATGTTGGTGGTGATGATGATGTTGATGACGATGATGATGATGATGATGATGATGATGATGATGATGATGATGATGATGATGATGATGATGATGATGATGATCATGATCATGATCATGACGATGATGATGATTATGATGATGATGACGATGATGATGAGGAGGAGGAGGAGCACGAGGGATTTGAGAGGATGAAAGGCATGAGCACGAGTAAGGAGGTGGATCGAGGAGGGGAATGGAGAGAATGAGCAGGTGAAGGAGTAGGGGGAACTGGAATAGTGTGAATACGGGTAAAGGAAGGGTAAACCATTAGGGAAAAGAAGAGGAGGGGAGGAAGAGGAGGAAGAGGACGAAATGAAGAGGAAGAGGAGGAGAAGGGGGCCTGGAGACGAGGGGGAACGGGCGGGGAGGC